AAGGATTGTTACTTAAAAATTAATTCTAAGGCGCAAATCTTAAAGTTAGTTAATGTCTGGTTCCAAACAGAAGGGGACCGTGGAGTCCAGGACGTAACAGTATAATATGTGTGTATTTGTGCTCCAAAGTTTTTAAATAAGTATTTTGTTTTTTAACTTTTGTCAGTAAGTGTATATATATAAATATATATATATATACATATATATATATTAGAGCATCTTGTACATCACCTACTGTCGTACGATCTCCACATATCTTTTCTTCAAGTTCCTTGGATGCTAGTAAAGATATTGGTAAGCGAATGAAAATAGTTATAAACAAAAAAAGTATATATTTTATTTGTGTTATACATATGTAACATATATTAATTTATTAATGTATATTCTTACTTCCAGCAACTTCCATATCTGCAAGCGAACATAATAACAATACTTTTGGTAAGTAGAGAAGATATTTCTTTTATTCTGACATAAANTAAAACTTTTGAACCATAATTGATATCGTATATGACATTTGTATAGGAATGATATTGTATATCATCATATATATAATATATACTGTGACAGTCAGAGCACTGTACGTTGCGTATGTTTATATGGTTTTACCAGAAATAAATCAGACAAAAGATTATTGAACGTGAATAAATTGACATACCTAACAGAATCGTACANTATCCTTGTTGCAATAAATATCAGAGCATTTATGATAATAGAGTCCGTAATAGGTCCTCTCTGCTTATTCAATCCTTTTATGACTGTTTTACAAACTTTAACTTTAATGCTTTCTTTGTGAAACAAGTCGATTAAAGGCAACAAATTGTCCTTGAAAATATTGTAAGTGTTTATATACTGTACGTTTACTATTATATAAAACTGATTATAAAAAGAGAAAATGCTAAACAAAAAGATAAAACAAAGAAAAAAAAACACTTACTATGGCAAGCAGAGATCCAAAATCTTTTGTATGAGCAACCATTTTTTCAATAATATTCTGTAATGGTGGATAATACTTTTCTAAAGTTTTGTTCGGCCGTAGACGGTCTATTATTTGCCAAAAAATAAGTTCAATTTGTTTACCTATCCAAGTAACACAACATTATTACAAAGAAAAAAAATCATAACCTAATACATGATTTGTGGTTATGCGTATATGCGTACGTATATTTTTTGTACTTACGGTTGTCATCTGTTGGTTTTCTTCTTGAATAAATGATGTTTGCACTTGTTCTTGTTGCGCTCTCTCTCTCTCTCTCTCTCTCTCTTTCTCTCTCTCTCTCTCTTTCTCACAGTCACTCGCTCGTTTGATCGTCGCTTACTCATTCACTCGCTCGCTTGCTCTTTTTCTCTCTCTCATCACATATTACAGTTCTCTTCCTTTTCGTTCGCGCTTATACCGACATCTCTTGGAAGAACTAAGAAACTGGACACATTCCTGGACACAATCTTGTCTGGAGACGACGAATTCCGATTCTCCGAAATAACATGAATTTCACACACATTTTTGTTTATCTTTCATTATCTCTACTCACAAGCCACAAACCAGAAAAACGCAAGAATACTTTTTCCTTCAATTTTTCAACACAAATCGAGCGAGTCCAAAAAGAAGTCGATCGGTTCAGTCGTTTTTGAAAAATAACTGATTTAAAATTTCCCCTCTATTGAATACCTGATTTTCGCGTATAGGCACAGTGTGTTCGCACAGTTCGAGCGCCACTTCGTTGCGCGTGAACTTGGCGCGAGGCACTACCGTGCTTCTTGATATTAATTATTTTGATTATGTTCAATATAAATCAAAAATAAAAAGTCAATTGTTATTTAATATTTCAATTTTTAATTTTACTAAAAATTAAATAAAAATTTTGAACTTAAAACTTTATATTAAAAACTGAAAAGACAGTGCCTATATATACAGGGTGCGTCGCCAAAATCCGGACAAATTTCAATTTGATATTNCCTCCGTTCAGTACCATTGGCAGATGTCGC